ATCGATAATTCGTGGAATGAGTTTGGACTGCGTGTTCTGAAGAAGCCAATAACTTCTCGAAGGGAGCTAAAAGAAAGGTTGCAGGAAGAATGGGCGAAAATCGGGAAGGCGGAAAGAAGTGCAATTTTTCTAATTTTTCCTGTAGAAATTTAGTATAAAAGGCTTAGTAATGAAAAAACCGACAACTCAAAATTTCGTATATTTCAGTAGAGCCAATTAAAGATTTTGTGTTTCGTAATTTTGCAATAATATGTCTTGGAACGTTAATTATTCCGCATTATTTGCAGTCATTCTATAGTGGAAATTCGTAAACTTTCAAATTATAATTTTTTCTAAAGTTTTAGCAAGTGTTGGACTGCAAAAATACGAAATAAGTAACAACTCGTAAGTAGTTAAACGAACAAAATTCCATTTGTAGTGCTGAACAAGGGCATAAAACGAAAAGTGTCGTTATTTCCCATAACAAAATTACCAAATGTCTTACTGAAACTATGAAGTGAACAACGGCACAATACGAAAAGTGTCGATATTTCACATAAAAGCATGACTAACCTATCGAGAGTTTTTGACGTGTGCCAATATTCACGATAAATGTGAGACATGTGCCACTGTTCAGTAGTAAACGTTGGCTACTTCGGTTTTGTGATAAATGGCAAAACCGCGATTCTACCGGATTGGTAACAACTAAGCTTATGTCGATTTGCCACAGAAAAATATGGTTATTTATAAACCTAATCCGCTATGTAACTCAAAAACATGGAATTGTGAGTTGTGCCGTTATTGCAGAGGAACATCGACATATACACGTACATATATTTTTACATACTTACAAATACCTATTTCGGGGGTTTTGTTTTGCTTGAAATTTTTTTATTATATTCCTGTTCGCGTGTGTTTTATTTTTGTTTTCTTTTTGAATTTTCGTCTGTACATATTAAGGGCGTTCACGCTGTGTTTGCAAAGCAAGAGTTAAATTGCTAAAGAGTTGTAAATTTAGATTAATAAAAGTTCTTGATTTTCGTTGAACTGATAAGTTGCATAAGTTACTTTTTTTATGTAATTTTGATGAATTTAGTTCGATAGTTACAATAAATTTTTTTTATGATTATTAATTTTCATTCTATATTTTTTTGTTACCTTCTTGCATTATAATTTAAGGATTGCTGGAATGTCTTATTAGCTTTAGCCGACTTAAATTTTTATTTTATTTTTAGGTATTATAATAAGTTTCCTTTTAAAACAAATTGAAACTCGCTTAGTTTTTTATATTTTCAGTTCTATTTCGTTTTTTGAGTTTGATTAATTTGTATGATAATTTAAATTTCATTTGATTTTATGAATTTGCGTTGGTTTTTTTGTTATATAATAATAATAATAGATTGGCGCTTACACATATGTTAGTGTTTGGCCGAGCTTCTCCTCCGATTTGTGGCGTGCGCCTTGATGTTGTCACACAAAGCGGAGGGACCTACAGTTTTACGCCGACTCCGAACGGCGATTGTATTTTTATGAGAAGCTGTTTTTCATGGCAGAAATACACTCGGAGGTTTGCCATTGTCTGCCGACGGACGACCGCTGTTAAGAAAAAATGTTTTTTCTATATTTTTTTGCGATGTTGCTTTGACCAGGGTTTGAACCCAGGCGTTGCGGAGTGGAAGCGCGCACTGCTTACCACTACACCACAGCGGCCTTACTGATATTAATTGGGAAGAGAGGTATGTGAAGTTATACGTTGAATAAATTGTACGCAAATGAACGGATGTGTTACTGATTTGTTGTTGCATGGTTGAAGAGATTCATTTAAAAATAAAAGTTGTTTTACAATTTTTGACACTAAGATGGCATAGTCAAAAAATTAAGCTATAGCTTTTTCAAAGGTACCATTAGACTCATCTCTCATTGTAGATTGTGATTCCTCCATGACTTTTAGGAACCTGAATTTTATCATTTTGAGCAAATAATACCCATTAATTCTGCCTTTTATTTTTTTAAGGCAAAAATAAAAGTTAAAATTTGACTTTTATTTTCTAAGCAGAAAATAATCGGTAATTTTTGCCTTTTATTTTTTCAGGCAAAAATAAAAGTCGAAGTTACAAATCAAGTATTCCAGGGTTGTGTATATTCGCGTGTGATAGTTTTGAAGCTCCTTTGTGGATTCTAGTAACCCCCTAATACACAAATACCTTCATTTGATACCTTATTTTAAAATCGAGGGAACGGTGTAAATCAGATGCTCCTGAAATCATTTGAAGCTGAAAGCGTGCTGGTGCATTTATTTTTAA